TGTTTAGTAAATCTCCTTAAAAGTACTTTATTGAAGAATTTTTTAAGAATCTACAGCTAAAATCAGAAGTAGCTTAAAGACATTTTAATTTTTAAATTATGCGGGAATCGGCTAATATATTATATAATAATAGTTTTTTGTATTATATTATATATAATAATAAATATATATTATATTATAATTATTATAATTTACCAAATGCTATTACACTGATTTTGGAATCAGCACAGCTACTATAATTATAGTTTACCAAACACTGAGCTGTTTTTTATAAAAGCTGTTTCTTCCTTCGGCACAGCTAAACATAATTTTTTCAAAATCTACAACACTACCAAACTAAGCCATAGTCCTCGTTTGATTTGCTGATTTGAATTTTATTGGTTTTAACTTTTTGATTTGAACATAAAAATTCAAACTGCGTAGTAGTTTGAATTGACATTTAGATATGTAGTTAAAGTTTTAATTTGAATATGGAATAAAATTTGAATTTGTGTTTAGTAGATGTGGAAAGCAGAGAGAGTAGGCACTTTTTACTGATAAAAAATGGTTTGAACGGTTGAACTTGAAAGGGGAGTTAAACTCTAAGTTGAGCCGTTTAATTCAATTCAAACGGAGAATATAATTCAAATCACATGCTTATTATACGTCAATTCAGACTGTGCTCACTGTCTAAATTAATTTAAACTGAATTAAACTAGTAAAACAAATAAGGACATAATTTTTCATATTAGCGAACATAACCTCAAAGGATTTGCACCCAAGAGAAATTGAATTGATTCGTTGGTGCAGTCACTTCGTCATCTTATCATTTTAAACCTGATTCCATCTACACAATAACTGCTTTTTTGCTTGGTGATTTTTATTTGCTTTGTGAACTCTTCGGTTTTCTTAGACTTGGGAAGGACCACGTCTATAAGACTATATGACCTAGGTTTTTTGGTACTATATAATATATATTCTATGGATGACAACCTTACCAGCAAGACTTGGGCAAAAAGTATAGTACTTTTTTACCCAAACCAGCAAATCCAAGTGCTATATCGTCGTCACCTGATTTATGCCATGCTTGGGCTTTTCGTCTCCATCCCCTTCGTTAAAGCAGTCTGTGCAAAAGCACCATCATGGTCATTGTTCACAAGAATGCTAATGTGCCTCCCTTTTAAGTCTGAAAAAGACACTTTCATGCATATATTCCTTTTCACCCTTTTTTTCCGTCCATGAGAAGGTGTATTATTAGGGAACAACTATACTTTTTCATGAGGAGAGTTTTTCTGGTCTGACACACTAACAGTGTCAATTTTTAACTGTTACATCATATTAAAATTATACATAATAAAAATGTATGATGAATATGCAATTTTTAATATAAATTTGACGGTTGAAAATAAATTAATAATTCATTTTTTATGATCATACTAGAGAAGTTCTCTTTCATTATCATTTGTTAGTCATTGGATTAATCTTTTAATGAGTTGATTTATTATTTAGATAATTCTTTGATATAGTGAGAAAATAAATATATATATATGAGATATTAATGAAACTTAGAAAACACAAATGGGCAGAACTAAGTCATATTATTTTTTAAAGTCTTGTCTACGATTTCACCGGTGGGACAATTCCAGCATCATAATATGTAGAAATAAAACCGTATATTTATTTAACATAACACGTATATTAGAAAGATTTAACACCAGACTATATGTTAAACTTACTTTAATTATATAACATAATACGAATGTTATAATCATTAGAAATAATTAATTATCACAGCGTCTCATATTTTTAATGTTAGTATCACGTTAAATAATTATATTTTCATTTCTACATTTTATGATAGTGAGACTGTAGACAACTCTATTTTTTTTAAACTCGACCAAAAAATTCTCAATTATCTTTTTTGGCTTATTTTTATTTTTATTTCTTTTATTTAACCATAAGCAAAGAGATCTGAACGTGAAACTTCAAAAAGGTTCGCATCTCATGGAGTCATTATTAGATTGAATCTCCAACTACTTTTTACGTTGCTAAGTAAGATTTAGTTAAGCTTATTTGCCAAAACCATCAAACTACAATTGCAATACCATTGAAGGAAAAACCAACATCCTAAATATTAGGCTTCATTTATTTCACCGATTCGAGTTTTGTTATAGTAAAAAGCTCTAAAAAACAGTTAAGTTTAATTTTTTTACTACAGTAAAAACTCTCACATAAAATCACATCTTAACTTAAATCAACGAACTAAACAAACCCTTAATTTATGCTCTTGTAACTGTATTTTGAAGCCTAACCACATAAAACAACAACATTGCATAAGATAATACGTATTATTTAGTAGATTTACTTACTATTTATTTCAGTATGATTTTAATAAAGGAATTGACTGACGACAATCATTGTCAACCACAGATACAATACAAGAAGCACATGTAAGTTCACGGGTTAGCTTGATTAATGATTAAATTAATATCTCAATCTCAATAATATATCCCAACTATAATGTCTCAATTGCAATCTCTTCTATACTAATATACAATAATGAACTGTACGGTCCATGTCAACCTAGGGGAGGGCCCACACTTATCAGTTGCACAAACACAAACCACTGAAGATTCAGGGCTCGTTCTTTTAAGTAAAAAACTCAAAAAAATATAATTTGAGTTATAATTTTATTCGAGTTTATATTCTTTTAAGTTTAAACTCGAGTTTAAATTCGAGTTTGAACTCGAGTTTGAGACTAAAACTCGAGTTCAAGTTTCCCTTTCAATTCGAGTTCAGAAACTCGAACTCAAGTTAATGAACAGTATTTTTTCTATTCTTAAAAATACTATAACTTTTTTGTTTTAATTCTGATTGAGATGATTTTTTTTTCTATGCGTTGACAACGAAAAGACGAATAAAACTGGACCCATATACCCTATTAAAATTTTTCATCAGCATTGAGTTTTTATTAAAATACTATCTAAATATAAATTCAAGTTTTGACTTACTGAAACACAAACTCAAAAATTTTTTTATCTCAAATTATAACTTAAATGTACACAACCAAACGTAAACTCAAATTACAACTTCAACTCAAGTTATAACTCAAACTCAACTCAAACTCAACTTAAAAATTTAACTCAAGAATACTTGTAAAAGAACAAGCCCTCGTTCTCTCACTCACTCACTCACTCACTCACTTCCACCTCGAACCTCCAAAAAAACTCCCACGCTTTCCCACACTTTCCCACCCTGAAATCCTCCCCAAGAAAGAAGACGAAAGAAGAAGGAAAAAAATCCCTACTCTCTCTCCATTCTTATTTTCTCTCATTTTCCTCCTAACCAAACACACCAGCTCATCGACTTTCCTGCTTCCCCAGACTCTGAATCCGCACCGGTTCAGGTCACATTGTGGTGTCATTTTCCCGCACTTTCTCTCGAGCCAAACATGCAAACACCGTTCTCTCTCCTCTTCCGCATCCATTTCTCTCTCCTCCTCCTCCTTCCATCACTCTCTCTCTCCTCTGTCTCGGAGCTCTCCACTCTGATGGCTTTGAAAGCCTCTCTAGACCCACAGAACCAGTTCTTGACGTCGTGGACTCGGAGCGCCAATCCGTGCGGAGGAGATTTCGAAGGCGTGGCGTGCGACGAGAGAGGGCGTGTCGTAAACATCTCTCTGCAAGGGAAGGGGCTGTGGGGCCGAATCCCGGCGGCCGTGGGTGGGCTCAAGAGCTTGACGGGTCTTTACTTGCATTTCAACTCATTGAATGGTGAAATTCCAAAGGAGATAACCAACTTGAGTGAGCTCACTGATTTGTATCTCAATGTCAATAATCTGTCCGGAGAAATTCCTCCTCAGTTTGCCAACATGCCTAATCTCCAAGGTGGTGGGTCTTTCATTTTTTTTTTTCATTTAATTGTCTTTATTGACAACAAAAAAAAAAAAAAAAAAACGTTGTTGTCATGTATATTTCTTTTTCTTTAGCAAGTCCGTTTGAGTTTAGATTCACGATTGATTATTATTTATTATTTATTATTGTTTTAGTAGCCTAGCTTCAATTTTGCTAGCAGCAGCTTTTAGTTGTGTCTAAACTTATGTTGTCTATAGCTTTGGCCTTTTGCAACGCAACATTGTTTTCCCTAGATTACTTTAGAACAAGTTAGTACATTATTTAAAGAGAGCAAAATGGATGGATATTTCAGGGTTAGCAATAGCGTTTTAAAGTATAAAAAAAAAAAAGGAAAAAAATATTCTTTGCAAACGTAAACACAGAAGGGGAAAAAAAAGGAAAGCAACTTAATAAAAACTAACAAAAGTAAAAGAAAACTCTAAAAGAGCAATCACAGAAAATATGATCATTTTGTCACGTTTTTTTTTCTTCCAATTAATCAAGCTCTGTCAATTTGTCCAAAAATTCAATGCTACAATGTCAAACTCTTTCCACTAAATTATCTGCTTATTGAATGTTAGTGCACTGTCCACATCAACATTTAAGATTTCAAAAAGATCTATGTTGCTATTGTCTTATGTATCTGCCCAAAAAACAATAGGATTTTTCACAATCGGAGGAAAATTAATAGAATTTATCAGTCTTTTTTCTTCTCTGGGTAGGTGAAATCTAAGTTTTCTTTTTTATCTGCAGTTTTGCAGTTGTGTTACAACACGTTGACTGGAAGCATACCGTTGCAACTGCGAAACCTGAAGAGGCTTAGTGTTCTTGCTCTTCAATACAATCAATTAACCGGTGCAATTCCTGCAAGTTTGGGCGAGCTAAAAGCATTAACAAGATTGGATTTGAGCTTCAACAGCCTCTTTGGTTCTGTTCCTGCAAAATTAGCTGATGCCCCTATGTTACAAGTCCTTGATATCCGAAATAATTCTCTCTCCGGAACTGTCCCACAAGGTGATGTATGCTTTTTAAGTACTACTAACTTAACCAGGCTTCTCATTCTACTCATTTGTAGCTTTTATTTTGTCGGGTATCTTATTCAATTGAAGATTTAAGGCATAAATAGTCTATCTTATTCAATTGAAGATTAAGGCATAAATAGTCTAAACTTTATACTTGATTTACATTTAATGTAGCGCTTAAGAGACTCAATGGAGGATTCCAATACAAAAACAATCCACATTTATGTGGGGTTGGCTTTTCTGACTTGCACGTTTGCTCAGCCAGTGATGGTTGGGACCCAAATAGGCCGGAACCATATCAACCCAGTAACCTTTCTGCAAATGGTTTCCCACACTCAGCCCAAAATCGTACTGCAGAAGATCTTCCTGAGTCTGTGAATTTGAACCCAGATTGCAGCAGAACCAGCTGTTCAAAAACATCAAAATCTCCTCAAGTTGGTGTGGCTTTGGGGGTCATTGGACTTTTTGTTGCTTTTACTGTTTCTGGTCTTTTCACATTTTCGTGGTACCGCCGCCGGAAACAGAAAATAGGGAGTGCTTTCGACTCATCAGATAGCCGGCTTAGCACTGACCAGGCCAAGGAAGTTTACATGAAGAGTGCATCTCCTCTCATCAGTCTGGAGTACTCGAATGGATGGGACCCGGTTGCAAAAGGTTGCAGTGGATTCTCTCAGGAAGTTCTTGAGAGCTTCATGTTCAATTTAGAAGAAGTGGAGCGTGCCACTCAGTGCTTCTCAGAAGTGAACTTGTTGGAGAAAAGCAATTTCTCTGCCATCTACAAGGGAATCCTGAGGGATGGGTCAGTTGTTGCAGTGAAGTGCATTGCAAAGACGAGCTGCAAATCTGATGAAGCGGAGTTCCTGAAGGGACTGAAGATATTGACATCATTGAAACATGAAAATCTTGTTAGGTTGAGAGGCTTTTGCTGTTCAAAAGGTAGGGGAGAGTGTTTTCTTATCTACGATTTTATCCCCAATGGAAGCCTCTTGCAGTATCTTGACGTCGAGGAAGGCAGTGGCACAGCTCTTGAATGGTCAACCAGAGTATCCATTATCAACGGCATTGCCAAAGGTTGGTGCATTTTTTATTGAAAATCAAAATTTGATATGATTCATTGCTTCAGGAGCTTTGTGTGCATTGGAAATTTGACATTTTTTTTTTGAACCAGGTATTGCATATTTGCATGGAAACAAAGGCAACAAACCCGCCATGGTTCACCAGAATATATCAGCGGAGAAGGCGCTCATTGACACCAACTATAAGCCCATGATTTCAAATTCGGGTCTGCACAAACTTCTTGCAGACGATATTATCTTCTCCTTGCTCAAAGCCAGTGCTGCCATGGGATACCTGGCTCCCGAGTACACAACCACCGGTCGCTTCACTGGAAAAAGTGATGTTTATGCGTTTGGTATGATCATACTTCAAATCCTCTCCGGAAAACGAAAAATCACTCAATTCGTACGCCAAGGTGCAGAGTTCTGCAGATTTGAAGACTTTATCGATCAAAACCTCGAGGGAAAGTTTTCAGAATCTGAGGCAGCAAAACTTGGAAAATTGGCTCTTCTCTGTACCAATGAATCTCCTAACCACCGGCCATCCATGGAGAATGTTATGCAAGAGTTAAGTGGGTTTGTCAGCTGTTGATGTTCTTACCAGGTTTTCACCTCAATTTTCAAAGGACGGGGTAATCGGGTATGATGAAGGATTTACTAACTACGCACTACAGTCTGATGCTGAAGTAGGGCTCTTCTGACTGTTGTATCCTTCTTGAAGACTGAAATATAGTGAATGGCTATGTACTTGTTTGTTGTAATCTGTAGGAAGATCTTTAGCATTTGGATAGATATCTACGTGTGATAGATGTGAATGGCTATCCTTTTTAAAGACTATAGTTTTATTTTCTATATCATTTGAACTCTAGCCATGTAAAAAGGCAAGTTTTAGTAAATGCGCATGTTTACCAACTAGTAATCAAAATCAAATTGCGGATTTGGAATCCAAGATCAAATATCTACTTCAAAATCATACAATATGGTTGCTCTTCTTTCTATATGAAAAGCTTATTCTGGTTTTGAATGTTGTGACAATCCATATTTGTTTCAATGCCTACTAACATTTGATAACAATTACCCATAATATACAATTTTGAGAAGAAAGAGCCCTCAAGGCAATGATTGTGTCAGAAAATCCGTGTGAATTTTAAGTTGTGTTGTCATATCATGATTTAAATTGCCACTCTTACCGTGCGAATTTTAAGTTGTGTTGTCATATCATGATTTAAATTGCCACTCTTACTGAAATAGCTATGGGGAACTAAATCTTGATAGTATGTCCCTGCTATAAATAAACGAATAAATGAAATATACATCAGATTTTTACTTACAAAATGTAAGGCAACTTCCTGATCAAACCTTAATGACCTCAGACTCAGAGTTGTACGTCGATAATCCATTCAACATGGAATAAATCTCTGTAATTTGAGGGTGGGACTTATCTTGCACCATAAACTCGTGAACAACTCCCTCTAGTTCAATTCTACTGCAACCAGGAAGTTTCGTTACGTTTCTTTCTCTCATCATCATCCTAACTTTAAAAACATCACCCCACATACCGAGGCCAGCATACATATTGGACAGAAGCACATAGAAACTTGGATTACAAGAATCCTTCTGAATCAAATTCTTCGCTATTGGCTCTCCAATATCAAACTTTTTATGACTCTTGCACGCGCTGAGCAAAGTCCTCCAAACAACATCATTTGGTTCAATAGGCATTTCCTCAATGAACCTTCTGGCTTCTTCAACATGCCCCGCCCTGCCAAGCATATCAACAATGCATCCATAATGTTGCAGTTTGGGCTCTACCTTGTGAACTCTTCGCATGAGCTCAAAACACATGAGGCCTTCCTTGACCAAACCTGCATGGCCACAAGCATTAAGCACTCCGATGAATGTGATATCATCGGGTTTCACAGAAAGCCTCTCCATTTCCATAAGCAAACAAAAAGCCAATTCCCCCAAGCCGTGGATTGCATAGCCACCAATCATAGCGTTCCAGTGATCGACGCTTCTTTCTTCCATGCCTTCAAATACCGCTATAGCCTTGTCTATGCTCCCACATTTAGCGTACATGTCGATAAGGGCAACACCAAGTTTCCTACCCAAAGGAACCCCATTTTCCTGTATATAGAAATGCAGAGCAACACCTTTTTCGATGTGTCCTAATTGAGCTACTGCAGAAAGAGCAATCAACAATGTGGTAACATCAGGTGACACATCTCCATTTTGCATATGCCGAAAAATTTCTAACCCTTCCATGAAATAACCATTACCAACATAGCCAGCCATCATGGCATTACAAGCAACAACGTCTCTATCCGGCATCTCATTGAACAAACTTCTAGCAACATGAATCCTCCCTAACTTTGAATAGCCATCAATCAAATTAGCCCAGCTGACTATATCCCTCTTAGGCATCCTATTAAACAAACTACGTGCATCTTCAATTTTCCCACGTTTTACATACCCATTAATCATCGTATTCCAGGAAACCGAGTCTCTTTCCGGCATTGTCTCGAACAATTCCCACGCAAACTCAAGATCGCTTTGCGCATACCCGCTAATCATCGAATTCCAAGTAACCAAATTCTTCTCCTCCAATGGCATACAATCAAACAGTTCTCGTGCCAAATCAATCATCCCACACTTAACATACCCATCAATCATCGAGTTATACGAAACCGAGTCTCGTTTCTGCATACCATCGAACACTTGGCGTGCAAACTCAACACACCCACAACGTAAATACCAAGAAACCAAACCATTCTGCAAATATAAATCCGACCCAATTTCCATCTTCTTCAATAACCCATGAATCTGCAATCCCTCCTTCACCAAACCCAGCCGACCGCAAGCTTTCAAAATCAAAGAGAACGAGAACTTATCAACACGAACTCCATTCTCAAGCATCATACAAAACATAACAAAAGCTTGTTTTGGGTCACACCCATGAGAGTAGGACTTGATAACGGCGTTCCAGAGAAACGGGTCGTCTTCGTTTCCAAAAGCGTGCCGGGAAAAGAAGACGTAGCGGGCGAATTCCGCGAGAGGCGGGTGAGGGGAAGAGACGAAGGCGAGGACGATTTTGGCGGAGAGAGAACAGTTGTTTATGGAGCCAGTTGTTATCATCCGTGCATGGATTTGGTTGACGGCGTTTAGGGTCTTGCATTTCTGGAGAAGAACAAGAGTCGGAAACCATGGGCGATTTGTGTTCGCGCAAAGAAGCATCAATGTTGTTAAACGTCGTCGAACTATATCCTTAATTTGTGATACGGAATGTGATAATACAGACTCGAGTGAAGACTTGAGATATTTTGCCAAGGATATTTTGATTTTTGTCTTTGCATTCTCTTTGTAATTGTACGTGGGGATTATTACGTACCATGCACACGTGTTATGTCACGTTGAAGGATATGGAAAGTAGAAATTAGGTGGATATGGAAAGTAGAAATTAGGTGGATTACCACCTGCGACCAAATCCTTTTGGTTAATAACCGAATTTTTTTAGGAATATTTACTATTTTTATATTTTGTATTTTAAGTTTATTTAAAAATTATAGGTAAGGTCTCTGATTAGACACTTAAAACGGTAATATATAATATTACATAAATTGTGTATATTTATATATAAATCGTGTATATTTACATATAAAGTCGTGTATGTTAAGTTATAAGAAATGACAATGTATATTAATCCTCAAAATATGTATTTTTGTAGCAATTAGTGAATACATAGTATGAAAATATGTATATTGGCTGATTTGTTGTATTTCATGTTAAATATACACGACTTTACATGTAACTATACACGATTTACATGTAAATATACACAATTTATGTAGAATTATACAACTGCAGTCTAAGTGCCTGACCGGAGACAATTCTAAAAATTATATTTTTAATTTTTTATATCATTAAATATATATTTTTAAATTAGATTTAATATCAAAATTTATACTTTTTCACAGTTAAATCCACGATTTAAACTTAAAAAATTTTATATTAGAACCATATGTTTTAGCACAATTATTTTTTAGTACTCTTAACGTTTTAAAAAATTATTTTTTAATACCTTAAGGTCATTTTTTAAAATTTAAAATGTTAAAGTTACATTTCTTATTAATTAACAAAATTAACAAGTAATAAATTTAGAAAAATTATACATTAACCAAAAAAACCTTGAGTGTTTATTCTCTAATCCCGTTTTATTTTAGCTGTGCCCACACACACGTCTTCATGGATTCAAGGAATTGACGAGAAAGATTCGGGTATTCTAAACTAGCTTGGAGCAAGGAACGTTTGAGGCCAAAAAATTCAAGTTATCGTCCTAATCGTCCGCTAGGTAAATTAATTAATTTAATTAATTTATTCGTGCATAAATTAATGTAATCTATAGAGTATCTTAAAAGTTTTATGAAAATTTTTGTTATACACGGTTCGTAAAACACACACTTCCGCATCCGAAATCGTTTCGGAAACCAACAATTATAACACAGGGTGCCAATATGAAATTTTTCCTTTTAACTTTGAGAGTACCTAAAATACCTTTAAATAAAAACATAGAAAAAGGAAAAAAAAACCTAAAAAAAAAAATTAAACTCACAAATTTAACCTCTAAAATGTGTAAAATACCATTCAAATAGATTTTTTTGTCTTATTAATTTTTAATTATCATAATAGTAGAAAGTTTTAATGTTTTTTTTCCCTTTTTCTTAAGGATAGTTCAATCAATTTAAATGTCAAAATCAATTATTGACCGAGATAAGACATAGATTTGTATATTAAATTTAATTTGAAGGCATACATTTGATGAGATAAAAAACTAAAAGGATAAATTTTAAATAAATCTAAAATACATGATATAAAAATATAAATATCCCCTTTTTTTAGATCTAAATAGTATTTTTTATTGAGTTTATCAGTAGTTAGTTACAAATTTATCAATGATAGACTGTTAAATTTTAATTGGTATTGATTAATACTTATTAATATTGATATGTCCATGATAAATCACAATTCTAAACCACAAATTAGTCATCACTGATTAACAATTTTTAATACCATTATTTTTTAATTTAACCAAATTTGGGCCCTTATTAAAAAATGTCTTAAAAAATAATCATTTATTAAAACCCCATGTGAAAAATTAGGGCTATGCACGGTGTTGAGTGGTAGGTCAGCGTCATATGCGGAGCACGTGCTGAGCAATGTTCGGATATTATGGCCGAACAAGTCCCTCTCATGTTTTCGGTCAAACATTACTGGTGGCGTCGAGCTTCCTTACACCTCCATACTCGTTGTTCGGCACACTTATTGTCCTGCCTGCCGAGTGAGCACAACACTCGCAGATATGTCACCGAGTAGGCTTGCTCGGCAGTTCCACACCACCCGAAGCAATATCCAATGCAAATCGATCCTCACCGTTGGGTGAATATTGAACGCTCCCGTCGATTTGCGACACTTGTCATGATGCCTGACGGAGTCGTATGCATGTACTTGTGGGCCCCCGGTAGGTCATGGACAAAACCCGGGTCCATCAACCAGACTATAAATACCCCATGATCATTTATTGAGGTAAGGACAATTCTCCTACCCAATTTATGTCACACCATTTATTGCTTCACGAGCTCGGCTGACTTGAGTGTCGGAGTGTGTTTGGCAGGCACCACACCGGTGTCCCCGTCAGTTTGGAGCTTTATCTCTTATACCAGTGCATGACACTAGTCCCCAAACTCGAGCACGTGGCGGAGTGCCGACCAGACTAAGACCGAGACAGGAGACCGAACACCATGCTTTCTAACACGTGGTGTTGAGCCAGCTTAGACATCAACACATGGTTTTTCTAAAACCGCTAGACCGGACCAATATGGTGGTTTCTAGATTGTTGGTATGGTTTCACGTTAGAACCATTTTTTGATGCTCTAAAACCAAATAAGACACTTTTTGGTTTTAGAAATTTTATACACAATCCAAATCAGATCAGACCATTTTGTGTGTTTATATTAAAAAGTATTAAACAATAATTTTATTTGTTACTTTTAGGTTTTTTTTTATCCTTATAGAATGCTAATTTTAATGGATTATATGCAGTACATGATTTTATTATGATATTGTATTCATTTTTTATTTAAACTTAAGAAGTATGAAATATAGTGAGTAAAAGTAATAAAAAACTCTTAAGAAACGGTTTAAACCGCGCTTAAACCATATGGTCTGGCTTGTTTCCATTGAAGCAGTTCAGCCTTATTTTGAAATTTTTTTAAACCACTAAAATAATCCGATCTAAAAATTGGGATGTTTTTTTCAAGGGTTCATCCATGGTTCTAAACTATGGTTCTTGGTTATCTACAGTGTTTTTCCCTCACAAAAAATTTAAATTTTAAAAATCAGAATCATGAACCAAACGTCCCACTAATGATTTGGGATTGGATCGTACCGTGCACAATCCTTGAAAAAATTACTTCTTGTGTTTATATTTTGGATTTTTTTATCATTTTCTTTTGTTAACAATTAGTGTGTATTTATGACATCTTTTACTACAAAATGACAAGTCGTTGTTTGGGTGACGAGCCTTTTCTTTTTTGTCTCTGAGAGAAGCTCCCCTAAAATAAAATGTTACTTGCATAAACATTTTTTCCCTGTGTTTTACTGAAGAGTTGCGCTCCTTTCTATGTTTTAGAGTGTACAAGTATTGTTATGGGAGAAAATCTACCTTGCCATGTCAGACAACAAATAGGCTCCACGTGGCCATTGCCTTACCACGTCAGGCAACAAATAGGCACTGACCGTCGAAGAATTGGCGTTCCAGTTGGTTGGAGCTCAGCTGTTTCAAAATAAGTGTTTATGGTAACGAGAGAGAAGCCGACCGCTCCAGGTTCCTTCAAGGCCGTCCTTGAAGAAATGCTTAAGAACAACAAACTTGTAATGTGCATCATCCACGATGATAGTCGACCCATCAGGCGGCTAAGACGAAGATGGCTCCAAAATCCTGTAGACCGCCGATGGTATGCAAGGATTGACGAGGACAAAGGCTCTATCTAAACTTGCCATTCGGGCCCAGTGAAAGTGGAAAGGGTAGCATGTTCAGTCATCTGACTCAGATCCCAAGAATATCTCCCGAGATGGCAAGAGGGAAACCCTTAGGTTACTTGCGGGCATAAACAAAGTCAATGGCAAGAAAATGATTACTAGCATGTTAGCCGCCTAAAAACAGACCAATAGGAAGCCACGAGGAAGTCACAGAGGCATAATAGTGGACATAGTAGGTAGATGAACAGTCGAAAAAGTTACTGAATAGCTACAGTCTAGTTGAGTAGGATAATAGGCTACTCGAGAGCAACCACTGGGTAACCTTGTGTCTCGGTTTCCTCCAAAATATAATCTGTGAGATATAAAAGGGGCAAAGCTCCAGAAAGAGACCGAGAAGGTCATTTTGAGAGAACTGAGCCCATTGTAATAAAAAAAGAAAGAAGAAAGAGAGAAATTTCTCAAAGTGGATGTAGCTCTTGCATTGAGAGTGAACCACTATAATTTGTGGTGTTCTTTTCATTTTCTTACGTTTCATTCATACTCAGAACATCCATAAAACCCATACACGACCAGTTGCACTTTATTGATAGAGATTAACCGGATACAAAGTAGTTATTAACACGTGATTTAGCCGGTAATCTAACCGGTTACTAAGCGGTAATCTGGTATATTACTGTTAATGAAATTTCACCGTCAACAAGTATGATTGTCGTGCAGTTATTTTGACAAAAATATGTCATTTCTACATGGTTTAAAAAAGACAAAGAGACTCATATCATTTATTAAAACATATTATATGATAACGTAAATAACGTAAATTTTTTTTTTTTTTTTTTTTTTTTTTTGAAAAAAAAGTGAGGACATGATTTCAAATAGATCTGATCATATCATCCGATTTACTTAATTTAATCCTGTTGATTCTTTCTGCCTTATAATTTGTAAAGATGCTGCTTGCAATCGATCTATAAAACACATACGATGAGCTTTTTCTCTTTTTCTTTTTTCTTTTGTTTGGTCTGAGATGTAACAACAGACGCATAGAGACAAAATAGATGAGCTTAACTGAAAGGGAAAAATGAATACAAAAATTTACGTCTTTTACGCATGAGGTAAGTGAAGGCAACAGCATTTCATGTTTTTAATTCATTTGTCAATTCACTAGTTTATTTTTGTCTTTGTTTGGCTGATCTGAGGACTTTTTTTGTAACATGTTATAAAAGCTGTTTAATTAAGAATTGAACAAAAGGTTTTTGACTAATTTAGTTGATGCGATTGGCATTGGGTATATTAGTGTTTTATTAGGAGTACGGTTGTAAATCTATGGCTAGCATCATCATAGATTTCCTATATCAACGGTTTGACTAAGAATGTTGATATGTAAATCAAAATGTGCAAAGAAATTGAAAAGAAACAAAAAAAGAAAAAGCGATAAAAGAGAAATTAACAACTGATCTACTAAAAGATTATTGAAAACATATTTTTTATTGCCTCGTTCACTTCGCTGATTCGAGTTGAGATGTGATTTTATGTGAGAGCTTTTTACTGTAGCAAAAAAGTTAAATGTGATTGTTTGTGAGAGCTTTTTATTGTAGAAAAACTCGAATTCTAAACTCGAATTAGCGAAGTGAACGGGTATGGAGAACGGGAGGTAATTAGTAATTTTTAATCAGTGAAAAAAAAAACCCATCTCTGTGTAGTGTACATGACCATGATTAACAATACTACAAAAATGGCCGAGTATATAGAAATATTAGTTAGGAACATTGATTAGCAGCAAAAGAAAGAAGTAAAAAAAAGAAGATATGTTTGACAACTTCAAAAGCCCTCGGCATTGACTTTAACCAAATTATATGTTCACGAATTGTCCCTAAACTATATTAATTTGTTTGTATAGTTTCATTCAGTCTGCATTTTCTAGTAAACATTTTACCAATGGTTGGAAAGCCTATCGCAACCGTACACTTCCAATTGACTCAAATGCGCATATATATATATATATGTATATATACACACACACACACACACACATACATACACATATAATGTCGGAGTTATGATTTTGTTTCAGCGAGACATATACTAAGAATGTGAAAAGTTAAAAACCGTCAAAATAATTAACTCTTAATACTATTAAATAATTACAAGCACGTGCATATTCAATTTGTTGAATTTTTTCTGCGTGAACATATATTTCTTAAGGTTTTAGTTTCATTTTTATTATATCTCTTATGATTTTAGTTTGGAACAAAAATAAAGTACAACTCTTAAAAAAAACGATTTTGATGTGGTAAATTTGACAACCAATTGTTTAGAGGTGCATAATAGAAAATGGTATTTTAAAAGGTCGTGGGAAAAAAGAGGTATATATATATATATATATATATATATAAGGTTGTTGCATATGACTTCAAAAAGGCCGGCAGCCTAAGCATATACATATATATATATATATATATACATATATACATATATGTGTATATGTATTTGTATGCACAATCTGATCCATTATACATGATCACCCGTATTACGTAATTCGTTCGTTTAAAAAAGTAAGAAGCTAGTCTTTTCCTAACGCAAGTAGAAGAGTTTTGGGTACTGATTATGGGAGAAGTCATAGTCATTATCCCGCTCTCCATGAATGTTTTTGCAAGTTGTCCCATTTTGTACTCGATAGCTGTTATTTGACAAGCAATAAATTAATTAACTAATCGATAAAATTTTGGTTTTGCGCTTGTCATCCTTACTTGGGTTATTGATAGGTGGCGACTTTGTTCATATCCCTAAAGTAGAATATATAGAAGAAAATTAAAGGTTATGGGAGACTTTAATTTGTTAAAAATCGTACTACTTGAACCATTCAAATAGTACGGCTGTGACTTTATGTTTTGTAGAACTTATGCTTGTGTCACTTGTTTTCATATTTTACCTTTTATTAGACTAGGGTGACGCATATATAAAAGGAGCTTTTTGCTCATAAAATCAATGAATAATTAGTCTTAAACCGACTTCGATATATACTCTCTTATTGTATTAAATTGTTCCATGTATCTAGTGGATCGATCAATAATAAATATATTTTGAGTGCTATATATCTATAGCTAGCTAGCTAGTTGTGTCTGGCTCCAATCTTAGTGTGAAGAAATAAACTTAACACTCCATGTACATACATTATATTTGTGTATATAAGTAAATATACATTCATACGAACACGTCAGAACTGTAACTATATTTACAATTTGGCAGGCCCTCAATTTCAAATCATTGACAGTTTCATATTGACAGCTTTAAAAGATATTTCAACTTACGCACGTAGTAGTCATGTGTGTGTATATACAGACCCGTTCATTTCGCTGATTCGAGTTTAGAATTCAAGTTTTGTTACAGTAAAAAACTCTCATAAATAATCACATCTAACTTTTTTGCTACAATAAAAAATTCTCATATAAAATCACATCTCAACTCAAATTAAAAACTCGAATCAACGAACTAAACAACATATATTATATTTCAAGGATCGCCAAGAAGATGAAGGGGACAAAACCTAGCTATTTCATTGATTTGAACTGCCTTTCGTCCTTTTGCCCACGTAATACCAAGGAAGTTTCAGAAGACGACAAAAAGGGCCACGTCCAAGAAAACTGAAATACATTAATTCCAATCCTGATCATATCCTTCTCTCTCTGCGTGTGTGTCAACTTTTTTTTTGTTTTTGTTTTTTTTTTCAATTGGAATACTACTGAACTTTATATTCAATTTCTTACAGCATATAACATGTTTTTTTAAGAACAAACTGGAATTTTATTACTCAATTGTAATATCAGCAATTGGAGAACGAGAGAGTATAAGTTGCAATGTAAAAACATCCTATAAAAATTAGGGATGACAATGGGGCGGAGGATTATTTCTCATCCCCATCTCCATCCTTCTAAATAATTCCGTAATATCTCCACATAAGAAGGGGCGGGGGGTCAGAGTTGAGGATTATTTATTAGAAGAACCTTTCTCATACATACTTCATTCTTACATTTCAAAATTATTGCAATTTAAATAAAAATAAAGCAAAAATTCATCATAAATTTAGACCAAAATGAAAGGTTCCGTAATAAAAATAAAATTCTTAACATATTGTCAACTGCAATCAAAAGTAATAACCAATGCATAAGCAAAAAGACTTTAAAAACATCCAAATAAAAACGTAAATTCTCCTTTTATTGTCTATTCTTAATAGCTTTAAAGAGGATGAAGAGGCACTAGGCAATGCATCCTTATATGTACATATATAATATATACGAAGATTAGTAATTGCTCTTTTTTCCCGGTACAAGGAACCATAATTGGTAGTTTTCCTTTCCCAACTAAAAAAATGCAGTTACATTTTATTTTTTTAAGTAAAAAGTAATTTTAAGAGATTATGTGTATTTATATATATATTTACATAAAAAATAATACATTAATATCAGGGCGGAGGTGAGTGGGGAGTACTTCTCTCGTTCCTACCCCGCCACGAATTGAGGATTATATTTTGTTCTCATTTCTATCGTCATCCTTAATAATTGTCCCCAATCCCCGCTGTTCGGGGCGAGATCCTGTCCCGTGAGAATTATTATCATCCTTACTAAAAATAATACTTAACGGACCATTGATTCCTCGAAAAAATACCTTTTTTTATTTAGTAAAACTGATCAAAACATTTGGTCCTTAAAGTAGGCTATCAAGAGGACCATCTCCATATAGAAATTTTTGACTTGTACGGTTGACCTAAGAGATAATTAAACAGCTTACCCTGCTGAATCATTTGTTGCTTTGGTGCTTCTGGGAAAAAAGTATATATATATATATATATATATATATTGATAGATAGATAGATATTTCAGTTCCCCTCTTGATGCAACTTGCTTTGATGTCTATTTTTTAGCTTTAATTAATTAGAGTCTAGCTCTTGTCAACTTTCCTTATCTTGTTGTTGTAATTAGTTTTCTTCTGTTGTATTTTTTTTTTTTTTTTTTTTTTTTTTTTTTTTTTTTTTTTTTTTTTTTTTTCAAAATTCGTTCAAGAATTTTTAAGTAAGCGTACATAAAAAGTGATTTAGTTAATTTTCAATTACGTAACGATTCAATAAACAATACTGTAATGGTACTGTTAATTACAAGGGCCCTTCGAAGTTCTGAGAATTAAGGCCAAGTGGTGGAAACATTTGAAATATTAATAATGTTATTTGAAGTGCAGCCGAATTAAATTAGAACAAGTATAATTATAAATAGCAGCCACTGAGAACAGGACGCACGTATAGATGCCAACACTTCACTGCTAAATTCCATACAAATTTCTCCTTGGAAGTCCTCATATTTCACCCCTCTTTTACTTGGAGCTAGCTCAAATGGTAAGGTGCGTCAGCCATTAGCATGTTCTCTAAAATTTAAATCTTATTAGTTTTATTTGTTGAGTAAGTGGATGATAGACCCACACCGTATCTAAAATTAAAAAAAAAAATTGCACAAGAAATTATTATCCATTAGTATAATTATAAGAAAATAAATCTTTCACATAATTTTAATGGTCTTTCTGAAAAAAAATAAAATAATAAACGATCAGATTTTCATTAGATATTGTTAAGTTGTCAAACTTTTTCTAGGGATGATTATAATTTAACGGTTAAAAACATGAACTACAATCCTCCTATATATATAACACGACATTGTTAAAATGTATGTTTCTTACCAGTAGCCGAAAAGATTGAAAACAAGCAAGAATTGGTTCAAGTATTATCTGTGCTTACGACAACCCAAAAGATTTTTTCACTAAAAAGGTTTCAAAAACAACAGGGAAATGAATTGTTCTATAAAAACGAGTCCCCGGTTTTCCAATGCAAATAAAGAAAAAATGTTGTGCAAAGCTAAAAAAAAAAAAAAAAAAAAAATCCAGATCATCTTTAAGACCATTAATAGTACTCGCACATTCTGCTCGTGTGAGCAAATGTCAACGCTATAGCCCATTTGTGATCTATCAAAGCTGTATGTATATATATATATATATATATATATATATATATATCTTTTCTCAAAATCATTTATATATACACCGAATCCGACACCTCGCCCATTGTCCCACTTCCAATCTCTCTCAAACCTTTTAGAGAGAGAAAGAGCGAGAAACAGAAGAGACAGACAAAGCAAAATTGATCAAGTCCAACCTTATTCAATATGAAGCTCATTTGGTCTCCAGAAACCGCTACAAAAGCGTACATAGAAACTGTAAAATCAGTGAGCAACCTTATCAAACGCCAAAACCCTCTAAATCTTTTTTTTTTTTTTTTCATTTTCAGTTCCTAAATAACAATTTTGTTTATTTTTCGCAGTGTGAGAAAATCAAAGAATCCGGTGTGGCCGAGCTCCTAGCCGCCATGGCCGGCGGCTGGGATGCCAAGCTGATAGTGGAGGCCTGGTCCTACGGCAGTCCGGTAGCCACAAGTATCGGCCTTGCGGTTGCCGCCCGCCAGACGTGTGGGAGGCATGTATGCATAGTCTTGGACGAGAGGACGCGCCAAGAGTACATCAAGGCCATGAGAAGCTCCACCGCGCCACCGCCGCAGCTTCCTGAAGTGGTGATCGGAGAGGCGGAGGCAGCAATGGAGGCGCTAGGAGGAGGCGTTGACTTTTTGGTGGTTGACTGCGGGCGGAGGGACTTTGGGAGGGTGTTGAGGTCGGCCAAGGTGAGCAATAGAGGCGCGGTTTTTGCATGCAAGAATGCATGGCAGCGAAACGTTTCGGGGTTTCAATGGCAGTGGGCGCTTGAGAAGGGGACACGCGTCGTCAGGTCGGTGTTCCTCCCCGTTGGGAACGGATTGGATATAGCTCACATAGGGAGTTCCAGTGGTGGTGGGGCCATGGTGTCAAGGAAGGGTCCCAGCCGTTGGATCACACACGTCGATCAACGGTCCGGGGAGGAACACGTGTTCCGGGAGTGAATTTTTGGGTGTGGGGTTTTTACCTACAGAATTTTGGGTTTCACCAACAATTTCATGCGTAATGTGTCCCCCTCTTGCCAGAGACTCTAATATGTATTTATTTTTTAGTTTTTTTTCCCCCTCTTCGCTATTTGAGTCTTTGTTTGGATCCTTAAGAACCGTGGTTATGGTTAGAAGGAAATTGTTAAGATGCTATATTATGAATTTTAAAGCATCTTAACAATTTATTCCTCTCTGATGTTTTTGATTCGAACGAAGCTAGCAAGAGTAATAGATTAGAACAAATACATTGTAAATATTAACTTTGTATGTAGATTATAAATTAACTTGAATAAATACTTTTATGTCTTTGGTATAATTAGATATATATATATATATATGTGTGTGTGTGGCTGTGTGCATTAAATCAATTTTACATAGCCAATTTGTTATGCCTTATGGCACTCTTTTGGTGGCTATATGAATGGATTTTGAATAAGGCAAAGAGAACATGGTAACAAAAACAAAAAGATAAGACCTCGTTTGGTAATGTTTCTGGATAAGTCAAAAGCACTTTTTAAATAAGTTTGGACCTATTTTTGTGTTTGGTAAGTGTAAGAATTTCAGCTGCTTTGACAACATAAATCAAAAACTAGGTAAGGCAACTTCTTCTTTTCGCTTATGCGAGAATTGGTTTCTCTTGTAAGATTAACAACAATTTAAAAATTTACTAAACACTTAACTACTTTATATCACAACTACTTATTCCTTCAGCACTCTTAAAATTTACAGGGAATTATCAGATAATTAACAACATCAAATAACCGTATGATCAGTTCCATTTTAGCTTTTCATGCATGGGCATCTCTCAAATGGTATTTTATTCTTGGAAGATGTTGGAAGGAAATTGTCAATATGTAGTTACAAGGAATCTTTCAACGACCGTTCCAAACCAAAAGTATACGGAATAATTCTAATTATCTTTATCTCTATTAATCATCTCAGCTTGGTGGCCAAAGGGACACAGAATTATTTTTTCAAAAGATGGTCGATTGAGATATGTTAACCATATAGAATTTTATGACTAGATATCGTATTGGCACCCACATCTTTGTCAGTTCAAAATCTAATTGAGATCTTTAATCATTTTAAAAATGAGAAAAAAAAAAGTTCAGACCTTTAAGAAAAATAAAAAAAGCATATTCTTTTGTTCTGAATAGTTTGACATATTAATATATATTTTTTAAAACCTTTCTTTTTTTACTAATAAAAAAATGATTAGATGTGTTAGTTTTGTCACGCCCCGAAGCCGGGGTCGGTGACGTGGAGGCTCGATTAGGAGTAATAATCAAAATTCAAAAGTAAAGTATTAAGTAAATTCCTAAACAAGCCTCCGTTTCGTTGAAAATGTATTACAAGGAAGAGGTCTAAATTTGAACCTTAACATCACTCAGGGTTTCACCCACAGGATATGCAGCATTGTACATACATGACCATATAAATAATATTACAGACATCAACCACAGTCTAGAAATCCAAATATCAGAGTTTACAGAATTTACAAATTCTTACATTTGTACACAGGGAGGATGATCACAATCCTCTCCAAATCGAGTAGTAGCAACTCAGTTACTCCGCACTGCTCCTAGAGTCGCCTGGGAGGGGTTTAACATTTATAAAATAATAAAACGTGAGCGAAAGGCCCAGTCGGATATAATTGAAATAACTTTATAAACCAATAAATAAATGAGTAAATAAATAATGAATAAACAATAAAATAAATATAGACATTCAGTTCCAATACAACAGCCGGAACCTCACATCCTTTTTCTCAAAAGAAATATAACTGAAAATCTCCGTATTACAGACATCAACAAGTAATTTATACTATGATAAATTACTTACACAACCACAACATGCCATATCACCCCGGGCCGGGTTTCGGGTCCTGCCCCCAAGGATTGATGCACTCTCCACATCCTATCTAGGCCATCAGCCGGTTTACTGATTGCAAGATATCTTGTCTTACGAAACCATTCATTAAACTTTATGAAACAGTTCATTATACTCCCCAGAATTCTTTCGCAAACATGCCCTTTCTTTAAAACATTTGCAAGGCCAAAATTCTTTTGAAAACAAGCTCACAAAGGAAAGGGTAAGAAATCCTACCTCGTAAATATCAAACCTGTGGCTAGCGTTACTCTACTCCGGCTTTCGCTTCCTCAAGCCCCTCAATATGAGTCCTCAGCTAGCACTGATATAAAATAACACTTTAGGATCCGATCCACATTCCTAAAGCAATTTCAATCTCAATTATATCCTTTCGGATTTCCTATTAGTGTGCCATAATTCAATTACCGGTTTCACAAACCATTTCATGTTTCAAATCATCATTTCAAGGGTTTTTAATCTCAAAATATGGATTAAAGATGCTAATCCATTCACTTTAGATCCCCAAATGAAGCTAATTTGGGTTCTCCTTGAAAACTGAGGTCAAAATGACATTTTTAGGCAAAACAGGATCAAACCCCGTGTACACCGGTCGACCGGTGACAGAGCAGTGCAACACCACCGGTCGACCGGTGGTGTGCACTTCGGTCGACCGGTGGAATCAGTGCAGTCCGGTCGACCTGTGAAGAATAGCAGGGCGAGGAAAACCCGCGGAATCAGCCCAAAAACCTGCAATTTCGGTTCCAAATCGAAATATCTCAAAGGGAAACCACTATATTCAGGTTCTAAGTACTAAATCAAGTCTAAAGAACCTAAGGTCTCCAATTTCTACTATGGTTTTACTCAAAATCCATCAAAATCCATTTCGAACCAAGAGAGGTTTTCAGAAATCTTACCTCAAATTCTTCTCTTGACGTTGAAAACTTCTTGAAATTTTCCTTTGATTCGAAATCCGGCTTGATTCGGTGAAGATTTTGAATGGGAGAGAGAGAGAGGAATGAGAGAGAGAGAGATAGAGAGAGAGAGAGAGAGCTCGGGAAGGAAAAAGGGAAAAGAAAAAAGAAAAGGAAAAGAAAAGAAAAGGAAAAGACATGTGTCACAATATTTAAAATGACAATCTAGAAATGTGCTCACACACACTTCTGGGTAAAAATATGATTATTGAGAATATTTAAATACCTTGGAATTATTTAAATTTACACGTCAGAAATATTTATTGATCAATAATTAATCAATTAATCATATTAGGTACACTAATAAATCTCAATTATTTTATTTAATCCCATTTAATTCTTCAAAGTGTTACAAGTTCGTCCTCCATTTAAAGAGTTTGACCCAATTCTACTTAAAAGATGAGCACAATGTCACACAAATCACTACAAGTGCAATGCATTTATAACCCTTCTTTTGTAATATTCTCAACTTTAGTTTATTTTTTGAGTGGATATTTTCAATTTTATTAGTGGGTGCTCACTTACTAATTCTTCATATTTAACTTTTATGAGAGTCCACCAAAATGACTAGATCTTATTTCTATTTGGGAGATCTTATTTTGTTGTTATAGACTAAAAAAGAGTAGAAGAAGTTGAAGATTAATACAAAAAAATACAAAAAAAAAGAAGAAAAAAAGAAAAAATAGAAGTTAAAACAGCAAATTGGAGTAGTTTACTATTGATACTGATACAGGCGCTGTAAACCGGATCCACTTCCCACAAATAATATACAAAATACAATACAACATTTATGGAGCTAATTATATTAAAATGTGTATGCACAGGAGCCTCAAAAAAGTCAAGTCCCTGCAAGAGAGCATTACATTCCCCTTATCTATACTTCACTAAACATGGGTTGGTCACAAATTAATTTTATCTAATAATTAATAAAAGACTCTTTAAGTCTTAACTTCTATTTTCAAAGCTAGAAAAATTTGAAGAGGGGAAAAAAAAAAGAAGATTAGCCTTAAGCTTCAATCCATTGCCTTTTAGGAGAAGAAATCCTAAAAACATGTTCTTCCCCAGTGCACTTGTCCACTTTTACCACCCAGTGATGACTCCTCTTCGGACCGTCTTGAAACCTATAATTACAAGTTGTAGCAGCATTGGCACTACCAGTATTTGTACTTTTACTAACAAGTAAGCCTTCTCCAATTGGTAAAAATTGAGTCTGATCTGTCCTTAACTCATGATCACTTCCCCAAGATCCCTTATGAAGGGCATTGTACCCCACAATAAGTGCACCAACATTTTTTGCCGTACCCTTCTTAGCCGCTAGGAAAATCCCCTTGTGGTCATTGATGTCACAGTCAATGAGCACGAAATCTGCTCCTTTGAGATCGTTTACCAAAAGGGTCTTTGCGTTTCCCGTGGCAAACTCGATGCGGTCGGCATAGTGTCCTAGGGAGTTCTTGGAGGCTTGCAGGACGCCTGGGCTTGGGAGAATGCAGACCACCCTGCCACCCGTTTGATGTGCCGCGGCAACTAATGCTAGCGCAGTGGTGGTGGTTGACCCTGCTGTGCCCGCACATGCCATCACCAAGAGCTGTGCATTGTTTCCGGCTGCCAATGCTGATATGAACTCGGCTGTATCTGGCTCCTTGCCCCTTTTTCTCTGAACATGCAATGTAAAGCAGAAAAACCTTATTAAGACATATAAAAAAAAAAAACTTATATCGTAGTGTTTTTGAATGTCAGATCATATCAAACGCAAATAACACACATAAATAAAATACTAGAACATAATTAGTATATGAAAACTTTATGTCATTATGAAAGCATTGGCAACATAAGGAAAACTTTTCAAGACTAACCATTTTGAGGGCTCTGAGAAAGGCTTTCGTGGCATTCTCAGCAGACCAACAAGCCATAATTTTTTTTTCCCTTTTCTCCTTTGATTCCTAGGTTTCCTTGTTTGAGAGAGCTTTAATATTACTGCTTTGCTTCAGAAGTAGAGAAGCATTGGCCTTATATATTGTGTGGGAGGGACTGGGAAAGAGTTATTACAGTCTGCAGAGGAGAGACTAAGGGCCCATATGTGCTATTAATTGTTTGCATGTGAAGCATCTGAGGAAGGTTTTAATTGAAGATATTCTTTTAAGCCAACTGGCAATGTTGAAAATTTAGATTAAGAATATGAACAAAACGGCTAACTTATTATTCTTTCTAATTTTTTAAGGAGAATAGAAGGGAGTAGGTTATACTTGTACCAGTTAGTAGGAAATTATAAAATCATGCAAATTAGTCTCTCTTATTGTTATAAAATACTATGTATATATATACATTTTCTTATTTTTTCTAAGATAGAGATAATTTGTAAAGTAGACGTGACTATCTCTGTCTTCCATTCTATAGTAAGACCATATGAAACTTGCTCTTTAATTTGACTGATTTCATTCTGTAGTAGTTAACTAGCCTTTGAATAATACAAATAAGTTTACTTGAACCCACATAATATTACTGATATACAGAGTGCATTCTACATTACACAAAATAAGCATATTATCGACTGTATTCTTTTTCCTGATCATCCTATGAACTATATATACATACATATATATATATATATATATATGCAAAATATAATATTCACTTTGCTGTGTAAATTACATGTAACATGGAGAATGACACCCCGCAGTTACATCGGAGAGCACACTTAAAGGGTTGGCAAGTCCCATATATAACTCCGCAGTCGAAGCCTCAAAACTTGGCCCTAAATGCAAGTAAATCAGCCCCAGAAGCTGTCAACCAACATGTCGCTTACTTGTCCCCCAAGTTGCCAATTACTCGCAGGAACACTAACGAAACACCCCCACAAGCCTTGTTTGATAAATAAATTGGTGACTTTTTTTCCCCCCCGTTTTTTCCTAGAAAAGAAATAAATTGGTAACTAGTACCTATTTTTATGAGACCTTCCTAGATTCCACTTGAATTGTCGTTTAGTGACTATAATACTATATATATAATATATATTAGACGAGCTTTTAATTGTTATATTTTTATTAATTTTTGATATGGTGTAATAAAAATCTAATGTCATTAATCGTTATATATTTTTTTTGTCAACTATCAAATTTATTACAACTATCTTAACAATATGACATTGTTAAAACAATAATATCCACTGAAGAATAAATATTGAAATAATCATTAAAATCACACCCCTATATATATATATATATATTGTATAAAATCAAATTGCAAATAATTGACTCATCACTTGTATGTATAAATTTAGTGAGATCTCTTGGTCGCCATTCCAAAATTAATTACATGTTTAGCTAAAAAGAAAAATATTACTTGTTAGCTGTCATGTCCTCAACTTCCTGTGCATATATATGCATATTTAAAGAGGATGTCAGTCTTGTGCTTCAGCAGAAACAAATCCAGCGCTGTTGTAATTGGTCCTCGGGCACAAGGCTGCAAAGCCATTACGGTGCAAGAACATAATGGCTTTGCAGCCTTGTGCCATTATGTTGTTTCGATTTACGTACTTTTCTATTTTGATGCCATTTTGAGCATATTTAAGTTTAGTAAACTTGCATTGGTTTTAAAATACTCTCTTTTTAGTAGGAATGAAGTGCATTTGTAGAGCCGTGAAGTTTTCATTATTTGTATAAAAGCCAAAGATGTCTATTAGTATGGAGAGATACTAGTGAAGGTAGAGAACAAGTACTAGACATGTATAAATTCACCAAAAGAAAGGCATTAAACACGTATACTATAAATAATAATATCCATGATAAATTAACATGCAATTTAAGTCGCAAACGGTACAGAAAGAAGGTACGACGACGCTTGGTGACCCAACAACCGACACGGAAATCAATGTATGTCACGTTGCCCTGCCATGCACATACATTGAGAACCACAGCCTACCCTTCTTTTTATCTAATGCGTGTATCCATTTGTTCTCTTCTTGGAATAAATTTATAGCCCGCACACTTCTTAATACGTGATTTGTTTTTCTCGGCAAGTTGCATTTTGTTTTTCTAGTTTTCATCCCCAAAAGTGCCTTACCATGTGTTTGTTTCATAAGTTCAATTCCTGTTTAAATTTTTTTCGTTCAAAACTATGAATCAAAAGGAACCTTAGTTTGTAAATGAGGCACGCTGCAAGCAGGAGTTGTATCTCATTTTGTTGGAGAAGAAATGACTTGTTCCGTATATAAGAACTACAATTCAAACTTTTTTATTGTAATATTTTCTCGCATAAAAATTTAAACTTTTATTTAAAAAAGAAAAAAAAAAATACTTCTTAAAATACATAGATTTTAAATTTTTATTCTTTTAATACCCTGTTGACCCAAAGTGATTTATAAAGATTCTTCTTTATCAATGGTGATTGGTCATAGTATCCATAGTGTTGCTTCTTTTTCAGCCAAATCCTAATTTTGTTTTGCTTCTCCTGATTGTCGAGCCTGATCGACTCAACTTTTTTCCCTGCCCCCCGGCCTGTCACTTCGTTTCGTTCTTCTTCTATATCGTCACTTGAATGAAGTCACCCGATCTTAGGCCGCGACTGCAAATGAAGTTTTGCAGAAGCAAAATTAACTAAGCAAATCAAAATTTTCATGGAACTCTGAAGAGAAGAAGTGAAGAAGAAAACTTGCTTTCAAATAGACAATTTAGCTGTTTCATAACACTAGTTAAAAAAAAAAAAAACACGGGCGTGTTAGTTGTAATAAAGCATGAATTTGACTATCATATTTATTCTCTATAAGAAACGATTTTATGATGTAGACAAATAAGTTTTAATTATAATCTGATCACCATAATATAAATATTATTTAATTTGATCACTTTTTATAATATCCTAAATAAGAGAAAACAATCGATAACAAGTAAATAAAAAACATAAAAGATAAAGGATAGAAATAAAAACAAAAAGTAAAGACTCTAAGAAAGACGGAAGAGTAGATAACAACTAACAAGTAAAAGTAAAATACAAAAGGTAAAGCGCATATGTGGATAAAAAATTAAACCGCTTTTTCTTAAACACTAAGAAAAAGAAAAGAATAGATAACAAGTAAATAAAAAGTACAAAAGATGAAGAGTATAAATGGAAACAAAAATTAAACTGTTTTTTCTTAAACTGTAAATAAAAGGAAAGAGTAAATAAAAAGTAAGTTAAAGAACAAAAGACAAAGAGCATAAATGTACAAAAGGTGATGGGTATAAATGGAAACACAAATTAAATCATTTTTTCTTAAACTCTAAGTGACAGAAAAAAGTAAACAACAAGTAAGTAAAAAGTATAAAATGTGAAGGGTGTAAATGAAAACAAAAATCAACTGCTTTTTCTTAAGCTCGAAGTAAGAGAAAAATGTAGCTAACAAGTAAGTGAAGAGTAGAAAAAATGAAAGGCATAAATGGAAAAAAAAAGTATAAAAGCGTAGATAACAAGTAAGTAAAAAAATACAAAAGGTGAATGGCGTAAATGCAAATAAAAATTAACCGCTTTTTTTTAAAAGTCGAAGTAAGATAATAGAGTAAGTAACAAGTGAAAAGTAGAGAAGGTGAGGAGCATAAATGAAAAAAAAATCACTTGACACTGGTTGCTTTATCACATTGAGAAAAGAGTAGATAACAAGTAATTAAAAAATACAAAAGGTCAAAGGCATAAATAGAAACAAAAATAAACTATTTTTCTTAAATTGTTAATAAGAAAAAAAGTAGATAAAAAGTAAGTGAAAGAGCAAAAGATAAAGGGCATAGATGTACGTGAAAGGTATAAATAGAAACACAAATTAAATCATTTTTTCTTACATTTTAAGGAGAAAAAAAATATAACAAATAAACAAAAAGTATATAAGATGAATGGCATAAATAAAAATAAAAATTAACCGTCTTTTTTTTTTAAGTTTAAAATAAAAGAAAAGAATAGATAATAAATAAATGAAAAATAAAAAAAGTGAATAGTATAAATAGATAAACATGAAAATAAAAAAAAACGTAGATAACAAATAAGTCAAAAATACAAAAAGTAAAAGACATTAATGAAAATTAAAATTAACAATTTTTTCTTAAATTTAAAGTAAGAAAAAATAGTACATAAAAAGTGAATAAAAAGTAAAAAAAATATGGGACATAAATGAAAAAAAATAAATATTTCATGATAGGAATATGCTTTATCACGCTTTTATTATATAAAATATAATAGATATCATAAAACTAAAATATCACTTATCAAAAACATAAAAAAGCAATATTTCATGTAAAAAATTCTTGTCATGTGTATGGTCTCTAATAAATGTGCTCACACCAACCAGTATAAAAAGAACGAAAAAGGAAAAGAAAAAAAAAAAAAAAAAAAAAAGCACGATAAACTTGTAGAGTTGTAATACTTCCAGTAATTTAACCAACTTCTTTGGAGTCTCCTCTAAAAGTTAAAATACTTCATCCTAAAATCTTATAACCAGTGAATTCCATTCAACCCGTCATTTTCTTTGAAGAAACCATGCCTTTTATCAACCTTTCAAGCTACAGGCTATAGATTCCAAGCAATTCCAACATAAATTCTCAATAGTCAATACAGAGAAGCAAACCAGCCATACTGCTCTTATTTACAGAGTTCAATCAAACTCTAAAGTAACACGATATGGTTCACTTGTCACTTCAGTCTATATTGATTCTGACTACTTTTTTCGTTCTCCCTCCAGCATTTACGGCCTCATTATCTGGTCCCATCCCTCTAGCCCTCCGCACTTCCTCTGAAGATGGAAGGAACAATCCGCTCGAGAATGCATCTGGCTTCTGTTCGCCTCTCAAAGAACCTACATTGTTATGACATTAAGCACTTAAAATGGAACCGAGTATATATAAGAACAGGAATTTATGTACTATTTAGAAAATGTTTTAATATTGGTCTAAGGGAAAAATCTGTTATAAGGTATTACGCGTTGCTGCTAATCTAATCGTTACGGCAAACATTATTTCCAGTGTCATAAACATCCAAAAGAAGGTGGCTACGACGTTACAGAAACGGTGGAGCAATGTCTAGAATGTTTTTTGCAACTAGAATGTAAATTCAAGATCTTGAACCCTTGTAAAGTTCCAAGGCCTTGGAGGTAAAATACAAGCAATAAACATAGTTATTCCATAATGTGAACAATTAAAAGCTACTTCTTTTGGTCTTTTTGTTATGAGTGAAAAAGAAGCGGAATATACCACATAGGATGTCTGTTTTAGCATCAGATACTAACATTTACTTAATATTATTACATTAAAGTAAAAGTATATAAAGAAATAACAAAATGACAAAAACACATAGAATGTGTTCGAAAAGAAACAACTCAATAGATTTCAAATGCATTACCATGCATATCAAATCCATGTTTCCAGCTAGGCAAGTCCCCTTTAGCATTACAGTTCCATGCCTCTCCAAAGCCAGCAAGATCGCCTGGTACACAATACAGAATTAGTTCAATCATTGACCTACCTAAAAGCAAACTATCAATAATCACAGCAAGAAACATGAACTGACCTTCATCCAAATTGTGTAAAGTTTGCATCACATCCACCCTGCCATCAGAGTTAAGCTTCCTAGTGACAGTGTGACCCTGTACAATCATTCAATCATCTCAATGTCAAATAGTAGCTACAAGGTCAATCCTTTTTCTACCTTTCCTTGCAATTTAAAAGCTATATATTGGAAGGTATTAAATACATAATAAACATATAACTCAACAGAATGAATGGATGAGAACATAAAAATTTGAGTAGTAATGCCAAACAAGCGATAAAGCAAATAGAATAGCATTAGCAATTCAAACCATACCTTATCGTGAATTCCCCTTGAGATCCTATATGCTGCTTGCCCAGTTGTTTTGTCTGCTTCTTTAGTCTCCTCCACGACCACCTGACCACAACCACATTAGAAATCGAAAAATGGAGCCCAATAAAATTCAATTGTCCACGGACTGTAATTTACCCCATCACCGCCTTCTCTTCTTGTTCTTGTAGAGGTGTAATATGCTCCATCTACACCACCATAAGTGACTTTGGAAGTGTGGACACTGAAGCTACGATTCTGAGGCTTTGCCCCCTCCACCTTGTAAGGTTTATTCTTATATACCACATTGTTGCTTTCCCTCTCTGCTACAAAAAACCACAGCAAACATGGGGGACACATAACCAAATTAGATTAATACATATAATTGTGAACATTTAGAAGAAATAACCCAATTATCCGAGCTTGATTACCTTCAACAGCATCATCTGGATGCTCTACAGATGGTTCTTTACTTGACTCAGAGCAATTTTCCTCTTGTCCTTCCTCATCAGAATCCAATTCTTGTATCACAACACCCTTATCTTTAGGCCTCTCCAGTGTTCCGCTAGAAGTGGCAGGAGGACCAAACATACTAGACTCAAACAAGCTACCAAACGGGCGTGAAAAGAAGGGATCATCGAATGGATTCCTCCCGCCAAAAATGCTAGGGAACATGCTTCCGTTAAAACCAAATCCACGGAAAGGATCACCGGAGCGAAAGAAATCACCTGCTCCTCCTCGTTCGCTCTGCATATTGTGTAAATTCGTCTCTTCTAGGGGAAGAAAAACCTAAGTCAAAAGAAAAACAACATCAAATACCAATACGAATGTAACTTTAAGGGGAAAAATCAAATTCAGATGAGAAAATTACAAAAGAGTGACACATGATCATCAATGGAGACCTTAAATATAACAAACAGCATCCAAAATAAATAAATAAATAAAATTCGGATGCAAAATTACAAAGATGAATAAAAGTTGATCATCAACTGAGACCTCAGGTACAACAAATAGCAAGCCAAAAGTTTCATTCCTTTTTTTTTTGGGGTTTGTTTTTTAATATTTGCGTTGTTTTCTTATAAGAGAAACAGAAAAGATAAGCGAATTTCAATAGTGATAATTCCGGCTTGTGTAATCAGGAAATGTAAAAGAGAAAACTAAAATTCGAGAGAAAGAGAACAAAAATTTCATTTCATCGACAGAAGACAATTAAACCGACGCTATCAAAATCAAATCGAGTCACCTTTTAGTAGAAAACTCCAAAGAAAGGCAAGCGCAGGGGAATGCTTATGCTAGGGAAGTGTGAAACTGTGAATTCAGTTAATCTGTGTTGATCAGTGTTTGGATAGCGAGAAAAGCGAAATAAAAAGAAAGAAAATCCAGAGAGAGAGTTACCTGAGAAAATGCGAGGGAAAGAACCAGAATAGCCTGCGTGTGCGTCTGTATGATTCCGTTGGCGGAAGTACGGTGGTTTATATACTTTGGATAGACCAGTACTACAACGACACGTGTATGGAACACTTTTCTGCGTCACGCTAGAATGTTCGGTGAATTTAATGATTAACGACGATTGGTTTCAAATTTAAGGGGACAGTTTATATATTTAGAATTATGATTTATAATTATTTTTATTTTATATGTATTTTTTATAAAAAAAAAATATTATAGAGAATTATAAATTATAATTTAGAATCAGATAAATATAAAAAGTAAACATCCTCATATATGATTAACGAAGTAACTTTGAAAAAGAGATGATGAATTGAAAATTACCTCAGATTGAGTTATATAAATAAAGTTTTAAATCAAACAAAGTATAAAATCATGAAATGTTAGTTTATATAGCATAAAAAATAAAACGAGTTGAAAGTAGAGAGTGATGAAGGAAGAAAAGAAGAGATAATATTAATAATAAAAAAATACTCAAGTATCATTACAATTAAGTACCGTAACTAATAAAAGATGACAAAAACTCATGTCAATTTAACGAAAAAAAGAGCGCACTAATGTCACAATGACGAAAACTACACTCATGGTTAGGGATGGCAGTGGGTGGATTTGGAGCTCACTTTGTAAATAAAAACACTTAATATATTTATTTCAGTATCCGCATAAATTGACGACTTACGAGGCAGATTTCTCCGTCACAGGTTTATAATATTCACAGTGCCTCATTTATTTGATTAATTATTTTTATTGTAAAATCGAATGCGGGTAAACAGAGAATAGGGTCAGAGACCTCTAAATCTGTTCCCGCCCTGCGAGCCGCGACGGATTAAGATTATTAACCCGTTTACAATATGAATCCGCTGAAAAGCATATTTTTCTACTTCTTTTAATGTGGGACCCTACATATACATGAGTTAGTAGGTTTTTTAATCCCATACTAGTGTTAGAACTTTGAACGGGCCGCCTATAACCGTCCGAAAAAATTGAATTTGTGTCCAACAACTAAACCCGCCTGCTTGACTGAAAAAGTCAGGCCGCCCGCCCAAGCCTGAGAAGACCCTTGGACAGGCCGCGGGCCTGGTCTTGGCTGCCCGAGCCCGCCCGAATGTGCCTGAAAAAAAATATTTTTTATTATATTTTTTAATTTTTATAATATTGTATATATATTCATTTTATGGTATCACATGCTTAACAGTGCTTCTACATATGTACTATAAGGTGTCTGCACTTTTTTGGTGTGTTGCATCCGCTTCAACCGAAAGGATCATTATTTTGGGAGGAAAGCTTACAAAACTGCTCTATATTAATTTATGTCCCTCTTACACATGTCATCTTCTGGATCTCTCTATTCGTTTCGTGTTTGACAGGTGCTCGCAATTTGACAGCCTACAGTGACTAGAAAATCTAGTTTGAGATACTGAGAAGATGTTATATCAATTATGCATATATATATATATATATATATGGGGCAGCTGTCGACTCTTTACACGCTCAAAAGTACGTCCCATGCAACAGCTAGGTTTTGAGCGCTAGTGTGTCTCTGTGTGTGCCCTTGTGTTCGTGTTTAATATTGTTTAATTAATTGATTAGCAAAAAAAAAAAAAAAAAAAAACCACTTTTGTCGTACATGCATATGATTATTAATATTAATTACCTGATTCGTACGTAACTCAGAATTGATGCATGTATTTGAATTTACATACGAGATGGTCATTCTTTGTCGTTGTTGTTGTTTTTGTTTTTTTGTTTTTTTGTTTTTTTTTATAACTGTGTTTTAGCTTGAAAAGAAGATCATATACACAAATTTCTTAGAAAATGATATCGTCTAAAATTTTCTAACCATGAATGTATATACATGACTGTAGCTTGGGGTGGCGATCTCGGGCCGGCCACGCACATGCTTAATTTTAATACATTTAAAGGACACGGTAGTGCCATATGGAAAGCTTTGTGAAATGATTTTTTTTTTTAGGGCATACTTTTTATTTATGGGTGTGTATTGAAGTCGTATCATTGGTATTCTCAATTAGACAAGTCAGCAAATCTTCTATACATGTTTCTCTCTTAATAAAAATTCCTTTTGCCCTAAAAATTAGTAAAGATGATAGCTGTTATTTTAATACTCGCCAAGAGAGTTTTTTTTAATAAGCAAATAATTTTATTAAAAAGAAGGAGTTTTCTTTAAATGAATTACTGATAGTCTTTTATTTTTTAATCGCTAAATTTATATTAAAATTTACTTATTTTACATATTTTTTAATTTAAAATGATTTTAATTAAATTCAATGTTCAAAAATTAAAACTATCATTAAACTAAACTAACAATGAATTTTCAAAGGACTAAAAAAGAAAAATGTTCTTATAACAAATTAACTAAAACATGGAAAACGCAAGCAAATATAAAACCCATATCAAAAGTAGACAAAGCGAAAGTATATATCCGCCAAAAGATTGTATAGCACGTGTCGTATGACATCAAACTACGTACGCATCATTAATGAACTATCACTTACATCCGTTTTCAATTTGTAATGTTTTGCGGGTATATCTAAGCCTTAAAACTAAGGCCTATTTCATATTACCAATATTATCAATTTAAATTTTTAATTTTAATTTTAATTTTAATACAATTAAAATTTTTTATAAAACGTTATATTTAATTATTTTTATTATAATAAAAAAATTTTATATAAAATTACATTCCTATTTAAATTAAAATTTTAAATTTATAAATTAAATGAGATTTAAATATACATTAATGTCATGACTCAAATCATAATTAAAATTATATTATTATAATATTTTTTTATAAAAATTTAAATTTAATTTTTTTATAATACTTTTTTTTACATATAACTCAAGCTGTCTTCTCTTTTGACACGTAAAGATACAGGCTTTTTGCAGTGCATATTGTACGCTATGGCAGGTAATTATATTTCTGAAACGCAAGAAGGCTTTTGATCCCCACTTTATTGGCCAGGTTATGTAGTACTAGCTACCGGCAAAACTCATAGTACATCAGCAGAACAAGCTGACAACATATGTATGGATATATATAGGTTCGTTTTTAGCAGAACCCTAGCCTCTATAGTCTATACCCTCTGTATGCAGTGCTGAAATTTTAGACGGACTGTCTACAATCATCTGAGAAAAATCAATTTTGAGCTTGATGACTGAACCCATCAGCCTGAAATTTTTAGGCCACCTGCTCGAGTCCGAGAAGGCCTATGGACAGACTGCAGACCTAATTTTGTTGCCTGAGCCCGGTCGGGTAACCTGAGCCCGCCTAAATAGCCTGAAAAAAAATATTTTATATTATATTGTTTAATTTTTATAATATTGTATATATATTATATATAATATACTATTATTTATTAATTCTATTTGTATATAAATAATTATTAAATTATTTTGTGTTAAAATTATATAAAAACTAAAATCAACACACACTATTAACACAATTTTAAAAATTAATTTTGTATATTAATTTTTAAATTTGTAATTCATGATTGTCTAGTTAAAAACCTTAACAAGAAAAACTCAATTGTGATAAAAAAACTTAGTAAGGAAAAAAGAGTACAATCATTTTGTGATGAATTATAAATTTTACAAACTTACAAAGTGTAAATATTACAATTACAATGTCCAATGTAAATAAATATTTAGAAATTACAATTTAATTTGAAGCTGAAGGATCGTCTTCAAAGCAAAATATTAATATATTAAATTCATCTATCCATTCTTGGCTTGTCGGTGAAATTGTGTCTTGTAAACGTTGATCGGCATGATCCCAATCCTTAATGCACACCAAAGCTTCAACAATGTCCCTTTGCAATGAGTTTCGTCGTTCCTCAAGTATTCGTCCGGTCGTACAAAAGGCTTGTTCAGATGAAACAGTGGAGACTGGGATCGAAAAAATATCGATTGCCAATCGAGTTAGGACTGACCAAGTTAATGCTCGTGCCCTCCACCATTGAACAAAATCAAACAATTCTCCACTACGGTCGAGTACTAAGCTCTCGCTGAGGTACACCATATGCTCGTTGAAACCGCCGCCGCCGCCACCACCTGTTGATGAAGATCCACTCTCAGTTTCTGTTTGAGTATTCTTCTTCTTCTTCTTCTTCTTCAACCCAGAAATATTCATAAAGGAATGGGGTTCCTTTACTCTAGAATTTGTGTTTCTAAACCTATTATCATATTTGATATAGAGAGAAAATATTTTTTTCCTTTATTTTAGGAAATTGGTCAGAACAATCGATGCCTAAAAATTCACCTAAGTTGCGGTTCCTGTACACTGGTTGTGCGATCAAAAGATAATTGTGTTTGCCGGAGTTTGGCTCCACCGGTTTGGCCACGCTTTTGAAGATACTTTTCAGAGTGTTTTCTCAAGTGTGTTATGCTGTGAATAGTGTCACATTGTAATTTAGAATAGCAATATTTATATTGAGCTATGTGTTTAGTGTTACCGTCATTGTCGACCTCCTCAATTGTGTCGAGGTGCGTTTGCATTTCCTCTTGGAGCTTGCAACACTTGCAGTATCACTTGCACTTGCCTCACCTCCATGCCCACCACCATTGCGACCACAACCTCTACTACATCCACCACAGCTCAAATTTGTAGGTTCTTCAGTTGCTTGTGTTTGCGATTCATACGTAACAAATTCATTAATAGGAAATTGCCCTTGTTCCACGTTCTATTGAGCATCAATAGGAATACCACCATAACCAAAAGAATCCATTATAAAAAATAAGAACAATTTGAGAGAGACAAAGCTTCAGGATATTGTGTAAGTTTTTAGAAAAATTGTGAGAGAGATTGAGAGAGTTTGGGTGGAGAAAATATTTGGGGGATGAGGGGTATTTATAGGAAAATTTTTTAGTTAAAAAATTGATTTTTTTCCCCCAAATTCGGATCCAACGGCTATTTTTGAAATCATCGGGTCGGGTTCGGGTCGAAAATCGGGCAACGGTTAAAAAACGTTCGAGGTCAGCCTTTCGGGCGGCGGGTCAGGTCGGGCCCCAATTTTGAAAAAACTTGCCATTGATCAGGCTTCGGGCATTCGGGCCAGAGAGAAAAAAAATCGATAGTCAACGGTCGGGAGTGGCAATTCGACGGCGGCCTTCCGCCATGTGATTGTTTCTCGGGCAGCCTGAGCTTGAGCCTGATTTGTGCTTGAATGAGCGGCCATGGGTCCCTGCCCACCGAGCCTGAAAAATTCAGGCTTCAGGGAAATCCGTCGACCTAAAGTTCCAGCACTAATGCCTACCATGCCACCCCGCCCCCACCCCCCAAGTGAACAAGACACCAAAATCAATCGACAACCATTTCTAAACCGGTTGTCTTTTCTTTTTGAAAAGAAGAGAAAATAAGAATACAGAACAAACGATAATACTAAAACAATACCAACCTCGATAAACATTGCAACAGTAAAAAATGACGATACCGAAGGAAATGAGAACGACGGGCCTCAAAACGTCATCAATAGTAAATACGACACCAATTGAAACCGAGAACAACCTAGAAAAGAAACCACCTTTAAGTTTAACAACGACAATTACTTTAAAAAAGACACCTTATAAAAACAATCACAACGTTAAAAAGATGACATAAATTATAAATCAATATCAACCGTTATTAAAGACAAAGCCAGTTACACCGCCATTAAAAAATAAGAAAAAGGACATAATACGACAAACTTCCTATGTAAACTCAACGCTAATTATAGACCCTAGACGACAATGGCTGAGCAGTGCAAATTGGAGGAGTTTTGAAGAGTGTAGAGTCTTCTTCTTCTTCTTCTTCTTCTTTTCTCTCTCTCTCATAAAATACATGGAAGCTGAAACTAGCATCCTACTATTCATAAGAGAGTAAACAATAAAATATAATTTAAAGTTTGGTGATGAAGCTGGTCAATGGTGCTGGGTAGCTATGGCAATGGACCAGAATGAAATGTGGGATTTAATAATGCTTTATCAAGAAACTAAAGAGTATCGACTGCGCAAGCATAACCCGCATACCATTAAAGGATACCAAGTTGTAAAACGTGAACTCTTCATTCAATGAAAAAAGAAGTTAAATACCACCAATTATAAAACGACATTGAAAGAAAGTAAGAAACCACAACAATGAAACGACATAAAGAACAGAGACTTCCTGGACATGGCAGATTTCGAAAAGCAAATCAGCAGTGACTTGTTGAAATTCACCTAGACTTCACATTTCTTCTCTCGTAGAAATATTTGTAAGCTTAAGTATGGTACAAGGGTCCAAAATCCGAACAACACATTTAGGCTGACCATGTCAAAATAAAAAATGGTATTCATTCTAATGGAAATACTTACAAAATGGTGGGTCTGCTAGGTTGTCCCATTTGTCGGCCTAACAAGGCCCACAAACAGAATAGGGGTGCTCTATCAAAATAAAACAAGTACTCTTTTACCGCACAAAAGAGTACGACAAGTACAAAAAAAAAAAGATTATTTTTATAAATACTCCCTAAATATTTACCTTATTTTAAAGTGCCTTTAAAATATTAAAACGCTTCTGATTTATAAAAAACGTGTCAAATTATCCTTTCCGTTTACTTTTGTATAAATTTAATGGATTGCTGACCATTATTAGTAAAATTGAATAATAAAAAACCAATTATTCTAAATATAAATTCAAACAAGATTAAATTTTTTTTAGCAATGTAATGCAACCCATGAAATTAACCATTCAAAAGAAAAAAAAAAACTCATGAAATTAAACCAGTATTTCTTCTAATATCGCCATGTTTGCTTTCCTAAAAAAAAAAAAAAAACAAAAAGTCACCGTGTTTGCCCATGAATAAGCGTAACTGATGATCATGTCTGCAAACTTAAAATAGAGATGAGAGAGATAAAAGTGGGATCCAAAACCACAATAATTTCAGCCCACTGATGATCAATAACTTCAAATGGTCCAAGAATAGCCATCGTTCTCCTTGAATTAGAGCAATTTATGAAAAAATTTCCATATTTGAACTTGCTATAAAAACGAAAGAAAAAACCTTAAGATATATCATCACTCGTTCTCATCTCCGCTATCATGCTCGCCGCCTACCAACCCGCTCGAAGCCCTACTGCCACCCTCCATCGTCATTGCGAGCCTGCAAATATCCCCAACATTTTCAATTTGAATCGCCATCCAGCAAGCTCGCTGAGATCCCCTCATCTCGAATCAAGTTCTCGGCGACTATGGTCGTTGAAGTGCGAAGGTGGGTTGCTGACCTGAGTGGAGAGGGTGGGTGGCGGACTGGGTCACCGAGGATGGGTGGGAATGCCATCTGCCATTTGGGAAAGGGGAGGACGACAGGTCTGGGTTTGGCAAAGGCCAAATAATTAGTTTTTTTTTTTAACTTCTTTTTTATTATCATTTAATATTATATCTTCTTTATGAATTTAATTAGTATATAATATTCATAATTAATCTTTAACCCCGCACCACATCAAGAAATCCGTTAAATTTATACATAGAAGTAGATGAAAGGGACAACTTAATTTGTTTTCTATATATTAAGGAATATTTTGAAGGTATTTATGAAAATAATCTTAAAAAAAATACTAATTTGACAGTAACAGAAACAGAATTTGACAATGACTCTTTTAATAGTGTTTGCAGAATTCCGGTATAAAATTAGAATCTAAAAGCAAATACATACACGTAACACTGGATTAAGAGGCTACTGGAATTGATTCTGTAATCTAATCCAGGGTAGAAAAGGTCTACCTTAACATCAGCACATTACCGGCATGAAAAAAGTGACATTCTGTTTTGCACTTCCCAACCCCCCCCCAAAAAAAAAAAAAAAAAAAAAAAAAAAAAAAAAAAATTCAAACCAACTGGCCATCCTTGTAACTCTGATACCCACAAATAACTCTCTCTATCATCTTGCATTCATCTCCTCTGTTACTCAGTACACACACTCTCTCTCTCTACTATTAAGTTTATATGGCCGTGGGAATGAGTGATTTCAAGTGTTGTGAGCTGTTGGATAAGTTAAGATTGTAAAGGGACCCTTTTCCCAGGGTCCCCATATCTATTTTACAAGGAAAATTTCATGTGTTATCACATAAGCGGTTCTCGGTTCTTGCTTCTTAGAACTCTTGAGAATCAAAGTCGGGTTTCGATGGATACTCGAGACCCTGAAGTGCTGGCATCCGCCGTAAATCTTCTTCTGAATATGCGGGGATGAACCAGTATCGCTTGTCAGCCCCAAACACCTGAAAAACACGAATAAAAGCACAAGTTTAATAGTGAAACATTGGATTTTACACTCTACACTCCCCACAAGCACACCTCCCAGAACATAACTAGAAACAGAATTTTGAATGGCCAGAACAGGAATCTTCTTTGGATAATCATATTAAATTTTTTCTCCTTTCCTTTAGAAGTCGTGATTGCTTTGCGTATTCAATACAAAATTTGAAATGTTAAGCTAATTGAAAACATTAACTGCACCAACCTGTTCGAAATTCTTCTTTTGCCCGAGGTCATATCGCCATTTTGGAGTGGTCTTCTTCTCATAAGCCTGAGCACAAAACAATATATGCATCAGCACCTTTGCCAATAGCAAAAGGAATTTGGCTAGAGATACATTAACAAATGTACATAAACATAATCAGGAAAGGTTTATACCTCAATAGTGGTCGTATTTGCAGCTACCAGTGATATATGCATGATCAGGAATCCCAGAACACTCAACGCAAATGCCAGATTCAATACTGAAAAATGAAGCCATGATGGTTATACTCGTGGAAAATCCATATACAACAAGTTATGTGGTTGGGAAAATAGCCAATAGGATTATTACCAAAGGCAAGAAATGTAGTCGCAAGGGTCCCGGGTGTTCCGGGTATTTCGTCGTCACTAAAGAATGCAATGAAATGAGGTAGCAATGCTAGCGTCACAAGACTTGTCTCAAGAAATGTGTAGAACTGCAATGAGATTTAAAAAATAAAATAAAACAAAAATAGTAATAGCATTTTGGAACATGACAAGAGACATGAGGATAAAAAGAAGAAAAATAAGTAGAACCACTGAAAAAAAGGCCATATCTGGTAGAATCATAAACACAGATAAAATGTGAATGTAATCAAGTACATGAGAAAAACAAACCAAGATGAGCACAAAAAAAGGACTTTGCTTTGCTATCCTAATAGAAGCCTCACGGCTTCATATTGTCAGCAGTACATAATTAATTTCCGGTTGATCAGCTATGAATAGACGATAAGATGATCAAACGACTAGATTCAACAGTGCAAAACCTCTTATCTTCATTCAAACCTTACAATATAACTAATAGTAAACCTTCACTCCAGAAACCACCTCTAGTTGCATTACTTAACCATAGAGTTGGTACTTGAAAAATTTGAGCTTTTCCAGGTAGATTTTGAAAGGCAAGCCTAGAATTAGATTATATCCGCACTATGCTAATCATGTGTACCACTCAAGCAGAAAAATGAGCTCCTAAACACCGTTAGCTTCAGCAGAAGTGGCTGTTTAACAGTCAATCAAGAGACGTTGGAAAGATGACTGGAACTTTTAGACATAGGCTAGCATCTATTGGATGCCAAAAGTTTTGCCAAAATTCTAATAGTAGAAATCATGCACTTGAGCAGCTCTTAGTTGCACAATATAGGATGCATAATAAGAAAAAGGCAACAATCGACCTAATAATATCAAGGTTCGAGGCACCTTTAGTTACACCAAACGGAAGTCACCTTCATCAAACTAACTAACCTACTCAAACAGAACGTAAGGAAAATACGACGGAACAAGCAAAGATGATACATCCTAAAAAACACGTATTTCAACTTGAACAGCAGAACTAACTCACCAAGAACAGAAGGAAATACTTATAATTTAACGCGCCAACGCAGTTAACAACCCATACGCAATGGTGGTCCATTTTAAGCACGCACCGCCCACCTGACACAAAATGCCGGCTCGAAATGATTATTGTCTAACTAGGGAAACAGTGTTGTAATAAACTGCAAACACAAAAACAAAGAGAATCAAGAGCTCCACATATTCTGCAACTCACAAACAGAGCAATGATGGCAACGAGGCGGTTTCAGCTGGTTGCACTTTCGACAATACCGAATTCTTTGGTTAGATGGTTCAGCCTGCAAACTAGTGAACTCCGACCCGTTATTTAACGGATCGGCTTCTCCTCTCTCTTCATCGACAGCAGGCCTCCAGTTCGGTGGAACACTGCCCGGATCCGTCAAAACGACAGAAAAGTAACTCCACAATAGCATCACCAACTGCACACAATCGTAGGCACATTACATTTCAAGCATCAAATTTTCTAATCAGACCCTATTGTTCTAAGATCTTCAACATCAAAGCTAAACACTAAAAATCCACTCCAATCCCAGATTTTTTAAGAATTACCCAGAAAAGGAACAGCCTTTAGATTTAAGCAAATTGCCACAAAAGTAGTAATTTCCAGTGACAAATAGAGATAATTTTGATGAATAATAAAACTACAAAACAAAAACCCAGAATTAAGTAACCAAAAAGAACCAAAATTTGGGAGCTTTTTTGTGAACTTACCAAGCAATGGAAGAAGATCAAAACAGCAAGAGAAATGAGAGAATAAAGGCCACCATCGTAGAGAGCCGGTCCGTAATTAGTCAAAACGACGGCGTAATAGGTGACACCGACCACTCCGAGAACCAAAAGGATCATGATCGAGCCCAGACCCCGAAGAGCTGTGCAGAACTTGAACACATTCCAAGCCATCGCAACCCCAGATCTATGCATGCCTCACAAAACCCAAAAAGGGAAAAACAAAAAAAAACAAAAACAAAAACAAAAAAGAAGAAATGGGTATCTGAGATTTCTAAAAAAAAGAAAAAAAAACAAGTTAGTGATCTAAAAATAAGGTCTTGAGAATCAGCTGGAACATGGAAATGGTTTATATTGAGAAAGGAAAATTCTAACGAGGGAAGAGAAAATTGTTTTCTTTCTTTCCGTGTTCAATTTATCTTTCCTTTTTCAGTCAGAAAGTTGGGTGTTTGAGAAATCAAATCTAGGGTTTAATGAATTTATGGGATTAAGGATTCCAGGTGGGGATTTGGTTTCGAATCCATGTTTGTAAGACACAACAGAAATGGTCTTCTTCAGTTCTTCTGTGAGTGAATTTTTATTTTTAATTATAGAAATTTACTTATTTATTTATTTATTTATTTTTGTTTGAAGTACTAAAAATGTTTAATTAAAGAAAAAAATGAAAAAGAGTTTGGGCAAAGTTGGTGAGTATTATTTCAACCACTATTTAACCAGTAATATATATA